TAAGAACCTCGATTTTATGGGGCCAGAAAAACTGTGAAATGGTACCCGCTAGCTAGCCGGTACTACACCTAGTGGAAACGCAACCAAAAACGGGCCGTGCACGGCACGTCACGCTTAAACCGCGCTCCGCGCTGTAGTGGAGATGCGCCATAACATCACCTTATAAGGCTAGTACAAAGATGGTTGTAAATCAATTCAGTTTGCATGATAGGGTTTCTCAGTACAGCCAAGGTCAGGGCAGAGTACCTGAGAGAGAGAGAGAGGTGGAGATGTCGGAGAGAGCTGCAGGTTCTGGTGCTGGTGGGAGTCTCCTGCATTCAAGATGAGAGGAACCATGTCTTCCTGCCCAGACTGGATTTCCATGGTTACTGCGGGTTGAGAGGTGTTCACTCCTACCCAGTTCACAGAAAATGGCAAAAGGAAAGAGTTTTTTCACAGAGAAATTGGCATGAAGTGCTAAATGAAATCTGAAGTATTTGACGTCCTGCAAATAACTATCTAATCTGATGTTTTCTGGATTAAATGTGAGCAGACTGTCCCTGGTGCTACCTTGCGTGTTGGCCAGTGCCTGTGTGCTGTTGGAGGAGCTGAACGAGCCGGCCACCACATCATCTGAGTCGAGCGGGGTAGGCAGCGGAGGAGGGAACTGGATGTTTGTCAGGTCGGGAAGAGAACCGCCAGTGTTGTGGGCTGCCGGGTTTAATGAAGTGGTCAACTGCTGGTCAGGAGATGGGAATATGCTGCAGAAATCAGAAGAATGCAGGGAAATTGTTGGTTAAAACACTCACACACGCTGGCTGATGTCAATGACAAAATGAAGGAACAGAAACTTAAATATGTGGTTTTCTGAGCAACATTTGGAAATGTTTTCCAAGACAAACAATGCCAGAGATATTTGGACATCAAACATTTGGACAGTCATACTTTTGCAAGTGCTTTGGCTCCGGACTCTTATTACTTTGGCGGAGAAAACCAAAAATATGTTCAATTACTGTCAGATGGTTTCAATTTGAATGCACTCAATATTAAGGCGGCCTGTGCATACTAAAACACCATTTTCAATTCACTTTCACCAACAGAGATTAAGAAAAACGTTTCCTCACAGCCTAGGAAGACATTAAAACACTCACTGGATCCCTGGAACTTTGCAGGGCTTGGATCTTGAAATGTTCTATAGAGAAAAAAACAATTAACAACCAGACTTTTGTGAAAACCACAGATAAAAACTGAAAAAACATTACATGTTACTTGTTACATGTATGTGAGTGTAGATGTTCCACCTTTTTGCACTCCCAGTTTTGGTTTTGACCATTTTCATCAACTTCCTGTTTAATTGCTTCAGCCCCGGGGACAGTGAGCAGGAGAACTGAAGAGATGGAGAAATAACAACAAATGTAAACAATTATCATAGACTCTGGACTTAAAAGATGTCCAAACTGTTGGAGCTTAATATATGCACAGCATACGTGTCTTCGGTTAATATAACCAAGGGATATTTACATTTTAAAAGAACAAAAAGGAAAGGTGGAAAAGAAAACTGATGAATATTAATGTGACGTTACTAAAAGTAAAGATATATTGTTTTAAACTTGAATACTGAATGGCAATAATGGACCAAACAAAAAAATGTCTCCAAGAGGATTTATACAAATGTAATCAAAGTACTCCTGAAATGGGAATAATCGGCCATTAGCAGTAAAATTCATCAGGCACTTGGATGCACTCTGTCCTCTCATTTTCCTCTTCTGCCTTCAAAGCAACATCCAGACCCTTTCATCACACACTGGAGGGCACTCGACTGAACCGTCAAGAGAAAGCAGCAAAATACCAGAAAATAAAGAAAGAAAACATACAACAACACATCCCTACCTACTGCAGATGAAAGGAGGAAAATATGATATGTTTCACTTTGACACTATATAAATTATACAATATAAATAATATACTATAAAACAAATGAGATAATGCGTACATCTTTTTGGCTGGAGCTCCTGGGATCCTCCTGTAAACAAGGCCTGCTGGGCCGGAGTTAATGTGCTCTGGTGCAATGCTGAGTCAGAGTTCGTCCTGCAGCACAAAAATTAAAAAAAGATTACAAAGTGCTTTGTATAGTAAAGTCTGAGAAATAGATACGGTCTGTTGTGAAGCAAAGACACCGCTCACTGTAAACACAGTAAGACATTTTAAGATTATATACTGTAAGTTTACACATTAAAACAACAATTGTTAACACAACTTAGTCATGCTAACCTTTAGCTACTTTAAATAATTGTGCTTTTTAACACATAATCTGAATGTGATCCTGTATCTTATAATATCTCAAGATGAAAATCTAAATGCAGCATGATGGTAAACTGTGAAAGTAGGTCACCGAATGTGTGATTGTGCAACATGTTTATGTATAAAGTCAGTTAAGATAACAAAAGTTTTGCGTTATGTTCCAAATGTGTCTTTCTGATCTGACCATGCATATTTAAATAAAATATGCAAATAGTGCAGAGCAGTGTGTCGAGTTTGAATATGAAGGTTTATCATAATTATAAGCGTAAACTCTAAAATAAACAGTCATGCAGAGACGGCGTTTCCTCCTTAGAGACCTGGAGTTACGTACTGTAACCCAGTTTCTATGAGTATAGGCGCAGCCCTCTAAACTATCGCTATTGGGTAATCCCCACTGCACGTGTGCAGCACTGAAAGACTTAATCCACGCCCACCTATGACGTGGGCCCCACCTCCGGGCTCACTTCCGTATAAATAGGAAGTAGTCCCTACAATCTACTCCCACACAAACAGCTTTTCTTCAGCTATTCGCGGAGCCAGTGGGGCCCGAACCTTAGAGGGCTGCGCCTATACTCATAGAAGCTGGGTTACAGTACGTAACCCCAGTTCTATATCGTATAAGGCTTCGCCCTCTAAGGCTATCGCTATTGGGTTAAGGGCGAAGCAGGATGTAGTCTACGCCCCACTGGTTCCGTCCGTTACCAGAAGCACAAAACACACCTACTCAGTTAATAACCCATGTCCATTTCGCCATGCGTAATGGAGCATCACATTCCCAGGGAATATAGCATTGAAAAAAATGAATATTCTCCATAAGGGAAAAAAGGTAGGCTAAATAGGCTACCTGTCGTTATAAAAAGTAGAGTCCAAAGTCCAACTTGTTAAAACGATCAAAGAGGGGGAAAAGGGCAGCTCTCTTAGTGCCGAGAGGCAAGAGAGAGGACACGCAGTTGAGTCCCCGACATTACTCACTCTGACAGGACACTCAGTACTGAGTGTGTCAGAGAGGAATGGGAAACATCCCTCAAATACAAACGAATAAAAGAACAGGGGGAAGACCAAGATGCAGCAGTGCAAATGTCCTTCACTGTCATTCCTCCGTGCAACGCCGTAGAGGAGGAAAATCCTCTGGTGCTGTGCGCTTTGATGTTCTCCGGGGGATCCACCCCAGAGGAGACATGCGCCTGTGACACAGCCTCACACAGCCAGTGTGACAGGCGTTGTGCAGACAGAGGCTGCCCTATTGAGCGCTCTCTGTATTGCACAAACAGACGAGCTGCGTAAAGCAGCCGTGCGTGCAATATAGCATGACAGCGTGCGCACAGGACAGAGGAAATGAGATGTGGCTTCTTCCCCTGATGTGTGAGGAGGAGGAAAGAAGCCATCCAAAGTTATCACTCTCGATCTAAAAGAGCTTGTGATCACCTTTAGCATAAAAACCGGGTTAGGGCGCAAAACAGCTGAGCTGCCATCTCCTTGGATCCGGAGACATAACGGAGCCACAGAGAGAGCAGACCAATCACTCACCCTTTTAGCTGATGTCATAGCCAAGAGCAGAGCTACTTTTGCTGACAAAAACTTCAGGGGAACCTGATCTAAAGGTTCAAATGGAGCTTTACTCAGTGCGCGTAACACTAAAGCCAAAACCCATTGAGGCGCCAAAGCGCGTGACAAAGGTCTGAGTCTCTGTGCTCCCCGTAGAAAACGTTTTGTCAGAGGGTGACTAAACACCGTGCTGATCCCAAAACCTACGTGGCAAGATGAAATGGCAGCAGCATATGTTTTGATCGTGCTATAAGCCAATTCCTGTCCAGCTGGAGGAACGACAGCATGAGGCAGGGGGCCGTAACGGGGTCCAGGCTTTTCCCTACACACCAAACAGAACATTGTCTATTTGGCTGTGTTGGATGTGTGTTCAGCAGCTGCGCTGATCGCTACTTTGTTGTCTGTTTGAATCAACACATGTTGATTGATAGGAACGGGGCGAAGTGCTGGCTTACTTTCCATGCAGAGAGTAATTCCCGCACGTTTATATGGAGAGACATGTGACCCGGCCACTGTCCCCACACTGCCTGCGACATGCACGTTACTCAGCCTGCGAGAGATGCGTCTGCGAACACTGCGGTGTGTGACGTCACTCTGCTCAGGGGCACCCCCACTGACGTGGAGATTTTTCCAGTAGGTTAAATCCAAACCCACGGAAGGAGGAATGTACACCATGCGTCTCGATACGCAGGCGAATAAACCACCTCTGGAAGTCTCCTCACTGTGAAGGAGACCCAGGGGTTCACCACGTGACCAGCTGATATCATGCCTAACAGCTGCATCACGGAGAGGGCTGTCACCGCCCCGCGGGGTGTGACGTGCCGGAGGAGAGCTGTCCGAGCTGTCTAAAAACCAATGGGTTTTTAAAGACAGCCGGTTTATGCAGCGAGCCATGCTGCCTATAACCCACAGGTGTAGGGGCAGCCGGCTTAACCGGTGAGCCTTGCTGCTTATTATTATCCATCTGTCCATCGATCACACGCGTCGCCACTCTTGAGTAATACTCTGAGAGCGCGCGACATGCTCTGGATGTGCTGTGGTTGTCATGGTGACGAGCCACGTCAGAGCCCTCGCCGCCGTTGAAGCAACCCAAGAGGGGCCCGGTCCGAAAAGGCTCCACACACTGCATCTCACACCGGCTCTCATCCTGTCTCTGTTTAGGAGAAGGCTCGTAAACTGGACATTGAGGCGCGTTTCACGCTCAAACCTGCTGAGGAATGAGCGGAGGTGTGTGCAGTGCTATTTGTGCAGTGCTATTTACACAGTGCGTAATAACAGCCCTGGGCTCATTACAACCGTGTGTAGTATAGGCACATCTGGGACAGAGGAAAAACCGTGCTGCCTGCTAACCGACAGGTTAACAGCTGCACCGGAGGAGAGCTGTCACTTTCTCCATTCTCTGCTGTGAGAGTCGCGCTCTCATGCGGGCTGAGTTCAATTCCACTCCCAGTTAATGTCTGGGAGGGAAGAGGACAGCTCTTCTTCCAGTTGATAATGAAAAACCCAGGTTTGACAGATGAGATACGAGCTGTATCGTCTGAAAAACCGCTTCCTCCCTGGAGCGAGCCAGCCACAGCCGGTCGTCCAGGTAAAATAACACTCTCATCCCAATTCTGAGTAGCTGCTCCAACCGTCTCCACCCACTTTGAAAAAAGTGCGTGGAGCCAGGAATGAGAAACGCAGGAATTTTGCTGTGTTTCGGGATGATGGTTACGTGGAGGTAAGCATCCTTCAGGACTATGGATGTGAACCTCCCTGGTGAACACACTCCAGCACCTGTTTGATCGTCAGCATGGGAAAAGGCCATTCCCTTGTTGGACACTGACAGATCGAGGATGGGTCTCATTCCCCCCGCCCCGTCTCCTTCGGGACCAGAAAATAGCAGGAGTAAAAACCCCGATTTTCTTCCCCTTGAGGAACCCTGGAAAAAGGCTTTCTTTAACCCGAGTTCCTGCCGCTCTGCACGGAGCGCGAGACACTGTTCCTGGGATGACAGGGTTCCCTGTATCCCGTAGAACTGCGGGGGGGAGAGGCGAACTGCAGAGACTACCCTCTGCCTATCCGCCTGCTCATCCATCTGTCCATCAGACAGACTCGCCGCCAGCCTGAGTACCATACAGTACTCTGATAGCGCCGGGTGTACATTCTCTGGATGGGCTATGGTTGGTGGCAAACCACGCCAGAGCCCTCCACACGCTGCATTTCACACAGGCTTTCATTATGTCGCCGTTTAGGAGAAGACTCGTAAACCGCGCGTTCACGCTCAACACCACTAAGGGATGAGCGGAAGTGTGTGCAGTGCTGTCCACATGATGCGTAATAATGGCCCTCCGTGAGCTTATTACGACCGTGGGTTGGAGGTAC